TGTTTTCATATTCATTCATTTTAAAATATTTTCTAATTTTACTTATAATCTTTTTCTTGGGCTCATAAATTATTTAGAAGTTATGTTGTTTAATTTCCAAACATTTTGGGATTTTTCCCGATAGCTTTCTGGCATTGATTCCCAGTTTAATTCCATTGTGGTCAGAGAACATATTATGCATGATTTCAATTATTTAACATTTGAGACTTATTTTATGGCCTAGTGTATAGTATCTTTCTGAGTGGTCCACATGCACTTGGAAAAGACGTTAATTGTTCTTGGATAGAATGTTACATAAATGTCAATTAAGTTGGGTACCCATTTTTGTTCAAGTCTTCTATATTCTTAGTGATTTTGTCTACTTGTTCTATCAATTAGCACTAAAGGAGGGCTGAATCTTTAACCATAATTGTAGATTTTTCTATTTATCTATTCAGTGATAATAGTGTTTGATTTGTGTGTTTTGATACTCTATTAAGAAGCCTATAAACTTTAAAATTGCAATGCACTTTTTTTGTGGACAAAAATATGAGAGGATGATAAAGGCCTTTAAGTATAGACTATAACATTCTGTGGGAAAGGCAGAAAAGAGAATATAAAATATGTAAAATTTCTAAATGTTAAAGAAGAGCTTGCTCATCTATTTTTAAAACAGATGTTGACAAGCAGCAAAACTATATTCAGATTCTATTGTATACATTTTAAAATGATGTAACTGGTTAATTTTAACGTCAGCATTTACAAACTGGAAATCACATCCTTTGCAATTGTATAAATTATACAGATTATTGTATAAATAAATTGTATAAATTCTTCCACTTCAAGGGGAAGAATCAAAGCCCCATTGCTCATCGCAGTGTCCTCAATTATGCATATTTATATAGCTTTTTCCCTCCCTCCCTTTCCTTTCTCCTCACTCTGACTTCCTTGGATCGTCTCTCAAATAAACTAAGCGCACTCAAGTCTTGTCTCTGGCTCTATTTTTAGGGTTACCCAAAGACAACAGGTACCAGGAGTGGATCATGATTTTTCAAAATTCATGTAGCGATGTCACAGTCAATAAACAGGCAACCACTGTTCTACTTAATATGCGTTATCTATTTCCCCAAAGCCCCTCTGTCTATAGTTATCTTTCCTTTCTTTTGCCTTGTACTCTTTAATAGCACCTATCTCATTGAAAAATGTTTTCTGTGTTTCCATTAGCCTATAGACTGGTCTTATTAATTCCATAGCCATTCCAGCCTATTAACTTAATCGCTGGACATGGACAACCCTCAATATGTCTACTCAATTTTCAATTTATTTAATAACATCTAGGTACCTTATTTGCTTCATTTAATTCTCAGAAAAAGGTTCTAAGTTAGGTATTATTCCCATTTTATAGAAATGGAAACTAAAGCTCAGAGAAATTAGACCACTAGTAAATTTCCAGAGTGAAAGCTTGAGTCTAGGATTGCAAAGTAAATGCCTGTTCTGCTCTACCAAATGATTATTCACTGATGTAGTTCCTCTATAGCTTGTTACAATGCAGGATATCATAAAAGTCCTTCAGTAATGGATTGCTTCTCATAGGAAGAGAAACTGAAGCTTGAAGGATTGTCTGGGTTTATAGAGACACAAGAAACAAAGGAGAATTTTCCAGAAGAGGACAACAACTAAAGGCAAGAGATGGAAACAAGCATAATTCATGTAACAGGCTATATTTAAATGAATTTGAGAATTGATTATGTAAACTGCAAAAGATCCAGATCACACAAACCTGACACAGTGTGTAATAGGGAGTCACTAAAAGTTTCAGAGCAGAAAACTGAAATGACAACAGTTGAAACACATATGCTAGGAAAAGAACATGAACTTGTATGAGATTTGAATGCTGAAACTGCTCCTTATATTTTCTTATTCAAGGTAAGTTTCCAAATGTCTCTAAACTTTAGCATCTTCACCTGGAAAGTAATCACTTTACCTATCTTATGAACAAATTTTTGATACTGCAGGTAACGTGTACAATGACTGAGACAGAGCAGGCACTCACTAAGTGTAAATCCTCTAGTCTGGTAGTGACAACTTTGATGGACTCCAATGGGACAAAGTTAGAATTCCAGAGGCCAGTGGTAATATCTCCATGACATTATTTTATGAAAAATATTAAACTTCCAGTGGGATTGAGAAGGAGGAAGACAACATCATCTATTTTGATGAAATGGATACGAGAGATGACTCAGTGTTTCAAGCCTTGGCTCTTAGGGTACATTATTAAGAGACAGTGAAGTTGGCAGGAAATTCAGTTTGTGGAGTGGGAATAGTATGCTTCAATCTGAACATGTGAAATAGGAATATCAAAGAAGTGAGTCAGTGGGAATAAGATGAGGGTGCGGGGAAGGGGCTTTACCTGAAATTAAAAGAATAACCAAGTTCCTTTAAGGAAAAAGTACATTACTCTTACATTTGAAAAGAAGTCAGTAGAACCATAAATCAGTAAGAGGAAGTTCAAGTTATATTTATCAGTAACATACTAAGAGGGATCCCTTCCCACCAATGTACATTCTATTTTGTTTGGGTGGCCAATAAAACATTGTCTTTTCAAGAAACACTCTTCTAGTTTATTGCTTCTATTTAAATATATATATATTGAAATTTTTAAAGTAAGACTGAAAGAAAAGAAAATCATCTCATCTGAAACTTCTCATAATGAATTGACTTTCTAGAAACTAATTTACTCTCTTAAAGAAGGAAAGACTTCAACGAATTGTTGATATACTCTATATTAAATGGATATGTGCATAAAATAATTTGACATAGATTTATTTTAAAGATCTAAATTTAAAAATTCAGATTTACAGTTCATATACATAAAAGCAGAGCAAAAATTTTAGTAATCTACTTATTAATGCAACTTCCAATTTGCAGGCTGCTAACAAATATAGTAATCTAATTTTAAGAAACTACAAGAACAAATGTGCATTAATTTAACCATGTTCACCAGGGACTGACAGGATGAATGCTATTGAGTGCAAAGCATCTTCTGTGTATGTGACAAGAATCTAGGCAACACCACTATTCATGGGTTAAGGATGCTATTTGCTCCATATCTGAAAAAAAGAAGATATAAATTCAAAGCCTAGAATTTAGCCATGACAGGGAAAATATTAGAGCCATTATTATAAAACACAAATGAAAGAGTGTCAATCTTGAAATATAGACATTAGCAAATTTACTCCACACATGAAATACAGGCACTATTTTTTTACTTTAATATGCAAATTTAAGCAACTAGCCCACAATATCAACTCTGCTAAAGCTTTTCATGTATCAGTGAGATCTTTCACACAGTTAAAGTATCACAAGTAAATACACAGGACTATATTTTATGTCTGTTGATCTTTGGCACATTTGTCAAATTGGAGAATCTCAAAAGGCAATAAAAATTTGACTGTTTTGCACATTCTTTTAACTTTACATGAAAATATAAGGCCGCAAAAAGGCAAGCTGAAATTTTAGGATATGTGGAATAGTTTTAATAAGGAGTTTTACATACAGTACCCTTACATATAGAACAATGTGTTTGCAAATTTAAATAATATCTGAATGTACAGTGGCATGTATTTTTATCAAAGATAAGTTCAAGTTAACTGTCTATCAGTTCTAAAATGCATTTATACAGATCTCTAGAACTGACAAACAGAATGAGGCATAAAATATTCAAGTGTTATATGTCATCAAATAGCCTCCTCTTAACAGTCTTTTTTTACCCTTTTTAAAAAAATTTCAAAACCTGTACATACATTTTTAATTTTTAAAAACAGTCTGTTAAAAGGTAACATCTCATGTTAACCACCAGTTCATATAGACTATAGTAATAAAACTAGATATGTGTGATATAAATATGTGTAGATTATGTACATGTGTACGTTGAGTGTTTGTTTAAAACAAGCATACACACTGACGCATACCTGCGTAGGCAGCACGGGGGCGCATACCACTCACATGAGCACTGACAGACAGTAGGACCTAGGCTCAAAATCCAGCAAGAGCTAGTACAGCAACTTAGTTGCCTTTGGTTTCAGAAATTTGTCCATTTGTGATCAAAGCTAAAAGTTTTGAGTGCGCACATATTTTTTAAAAATAAAATTCATCTTCAGAAATGAAGCTTTTCCAGTATTCCACGACTAGCAGTTAAAAAAATCCATAGCCACAATCATTTTGATATTTTTGTCACTCCTCATCCCAGCTGAGGTTATTTACAATTTTTTTTCTGAAGGCAAACATCAAGCATACTCAGGATCAAACTGTATGTTGAAGCCTGAATACTGCCATTCAATATATATGAGATATATATAACATATGTGATATATAGGTTTAGATGGACTGATGCCATTATGTAATAAGACTTGGAGTGAGAGAACTCCCCATAATATTTAAAATCCTCTTTCTAGCAGTATCATCATCATTTGGCACATCAGACCCTTCTGCAAGCCAGTTTGTTTTTAATGAGCTAAATGCCTGCAATATATTCCAATTATTTGGTGTTTGTTTTTAAATACATTCATAATGAAGTAAGAATTCCACAACTGTTTTCTCCAGAACTGCAACTTCTACTGTCAGTTTTCTGATTAAGGACATTCATCACCCAAGAAACAGCTCATGATCCTATAAAAGTTTAAATTTCTATAAAACCCAAAATTTCTGTGCAGCTGGAACAACTGCTGAGAAGACAGTTCTTAGAGCAACCCTGTAGAACGTCCAGAATTTAAATTGCCTTTACAATTTTGTTTTTGGCCAAATGCTGGTTTATAAACATGGCTCTTTCTACTAAAAACTATATAAATACATTATATTTCTTTCTACAGGTATCTTGAGCTTCATGTAAGCAACTATTCAAAAATTCTGCCAATTCAATTCCTTTAGTATAGATTATATTCTACTTCATTGATCCTTGGCATATAATGCATTATCATCTGCAGCTTGCTCATTAATTTTTTTTTAAATATTAGCTTCTTTGATAAAGTTGTTCTTCATTTTCCCTTCCAAGGTGCCATCCTACTGATGTCACAAATCAGTAAATGACCAGACACTACTAAGTTTTGTAATTATCCACTTAGCAGTCACGTGGATAATAAAAACGATTTGACTGAAGAAAGCCACGTTCTTTGCATTAAGTGTTCACTGTTGTCATACAGAGCAAAGAGTTGCTATCTGTTGTACTTTGCCCATGTCAATCAGGAGCTGTTTTATATGGCGTTTAAGTTGGGGCAGTCTTGCAAGAGGATCTGGTGGCTCCAACTCTCCTGTGAAATCAAGCCAGCTTTCCAGAACTAAAAAAGAGAAGAGAACAAACAAATTTAAATGGCAACTGGAAAAACAGAAAATGGCGTAATTAGAGGTTGGAACAGTGATGGAGAGAAGAGTTCACTTCTCTGTTTTTAGAAAGCCAACATACTCAAGCCATTTCTGAGAGGGGTAGCATCCGGCACATCCTACTCCACAAGTTCTAGTCCCACTTTATCTGTCATTTAGGATATTTTTCCATATATATATATAAACTAACTTCATTTTGAATGTCTCCTTTTACTGTCTTCCAGAACAGGAAACAACTATTCCCTGTGCCTGCTCAAGCTTTCTATTAATTTAGACTTAAATTATTTCCATTTCATTTAAAACAAAACTTACCTACTCTATACATTTGTTAAAAAAAATCTAGAAGTTATTTTTAACAAAGGAAAGGAAGTAGCAATTCTCAGCATTCTTTTCAGTTCCACTATTTTATCATTGCTTTTTTAAAAACATGCAAGTGCATTAAAATTCTAGGCAAAATGCAGTTAATTACCTCTATACTTTTTATTAATGTTTTCTTTGGAAATTTACCTCTATAATATAGGATAGTGTTAAGCTGCATTTTCTTTTCTTCAAAAATCTACTTAAAACATTAAACTCTACAGTTGACTTACAACTAAATGGAAGATACTTCTGAAACGGGTTTCCATTTCTTCTTTTCTCAAGGGGAAAAAAAAGTAGTAGGTACTGTAACTTAGTGTAGTGGAGAAGTATCACATGCTTTTGCAAAATTAAAAAAAAAGCATGTTTGGGGATGCAGAATACAACCTATGAGGTTAGGAGGAAAAAGTAGTGAAAAAGCATAGGAAGAACACTGAATTAGGAATCAGGTAATCTAAGTTACTCTAGTTTCTCAAATATAAGATAGGGATAATATCTTTCCTGCCTACTCTTCAGGGCTCCTGTGTCATGATAAAATTTAAAAATAAAAGAGAAAACCATTTGAAAATTTGTATGTAATGTTAAGGTTTACCTACTTAACCTCGTAAAAGTTTTTTTTTTTTATTAATTTCACTCAACAAATACTAACCAAAGTAAAAATAAACATTCAAAATGTTTTTCCCTTCCTATTTCAAATATGCTTAAACTTCTTATGCTGACTTCCAAAGAAAGCAGAGTTCAATAAAACTAATAAATATTCCATAAATGTTCTAACTTGATCCTGGCAGATGGGCAGTATTTAATAAATATCCATCTTGGAAAAAAAAAAACAAAAACTTAAGATCATACCCTGTCATATTGTTTTGAGCCTAAAAGGCCCTATATGTGTTAAATACAATGTAAAGTGAACAATAAAGCTTCAGCAATATGGAGAGCATCTGTAGTTTTCACTCCACAATTTAAAAAAATTTAAATAATTTCTTCATAATAATAATCAACATACTATAGTAACCGTATTTTAGTTCTTGCTTAAATTACCATCAACTTCTTTTTCTATTAGGTCCATCCTGCTGGTAACTTCATTCTGCACATTTTCTATGTGTGTGAGGAGATTGAGCTGCCACTGAAGATGTGAGTCTCCTGGGTCTTCAGTGCCCTTTTTATCATTATAAACAAATACTGTATTCCCTTCAGCTGGATTCTTCTCCAAAGGACCATTGGAAAATAAACATAAAGAAATGGATGAAATGCAATGTCATAAAGGAAAGATACATTAAACACCTCGTCACCCACAGTGTCTGGTGAAATCCAATCTGACCCCTGGTATATCTTAAAGGTACATAATCAAATTCCACTTGGTGGTCCTTAAGAACAGATAGGCCCACGATTTCCATCTCTCTCCATCTCTCTACTATGCCTAGCATAGTGCTACAGAGGGAAGAAGGCTTCAATAAAATGTGCTAAATAAATGAAGTCACTAATTCTATTCTGTAACTAAAATGCCCAGCTAATTTATAATGGCCGCTTCCTCAATTAATCTCAACTGGTGACATAAGTGGAGTGAGGGCAAAGTAATAATGGAAAAAATTGAGAAAGGTGTCAAAGACCAGTATAAAGTCTAACTACAGATTGGTCTTTACTGTTTCAGTTAAATCAATGAGATGAGGAAAAGGCAAAAAAATCTTTCAAAAACTTCAAAACAGCAAACAGTTTAATATACACACAGAATCTCAACTTAGATTTGCCCAAGATAACATTTCCCATGAGGGATACTAATTTGACAAAATAATTTACCACAAATTTTATAAAATATAAGTTTTCCAAATTTAGTTAAGTACTTATTAATATTTACAGTGATTACCTGATAGCCAGAAAAATAAAAAACTAATTTCAAAGTGGCCTTACTAATTGGAAATCAATAAAAAATGAAGGCACGACACCTCTAAGATAATCCCACCGAATAGGAAATAAGTTTACAGATGTGCAATGTACATAGATCTTAAGAATTCAGCTTACTGCACTGCATAATGGGATCGCTGTGCATTTACAAATACGCTAAAATTTTAAAAAAGACAGAATGCCACCTTTCATCTAACACAAATAAAAAAGGAGGGCAAATTATTACACCCATATGTGCTTTATGTTCTCACACACAGACATTTTCATTTGAAATACAATGTGGCTCATTAGTTTTTGGAGGCATTTAAGTGTGCTTATAAAATTTAAACATTTGTTAGGGTAACAGTTTATTGAAATTACTGAAATTCTGAATTAGGGGATAATAAAATGTTCAAATGGCCAGTGTTTTTCTGTAGAGAAAACAAAAAATGTCCTTAACCTTAACAAGGTATTTGTGAACTTGTAAATATAAGTAAAACCTGGGAATTCAGTATGTTTTATTTTACACAATTTTTCTTTGTTGTTCTATCATATTTTTGAGACAAACACAAATGAACCAGTTTTACCTTTTCAGGCATTCCACGTTCTTTTGCTGAGTATTGTGAACGATTTTTATCTCCCATTTGGAATTCTTGTTCTTCTTCAAAACTACTAACATCATCATCGTCTGAGCTCCCAGGGTCTGCAAGAGATTTGCAGTCCTGACCAAAACTTTGTGGCTTTTGATAGCTGTGCTCACTTGTTATATAAGTTCCTTCTGTTTTTAGGGGCAAACGAGGTGGTTCTTTATGGTTGTTCTGTACGTATTTCTTTTCTTCTAGATTAACTGTGTCTTGCAGTGTTATTTTTTTCTCTACCCCAGCTATTACTTGATCTTGGTCTTTTCGCTTCCCAGAACAAGCCCAGAGATGAAGGTCAGGATGATGTTTATTCCTTAAAACAAAGTTACAGAAACAGCAGTTCATAAAAAAAGAAAAATCTATTAACAAGTTGAATACCACAATAAATTTCAAAGCCAGGTTAGGAGGAGGTCAGGGACTCAAGACAAAAGCAAAGGTATTCATTAGGTTAACTCAGCAGTCCCCAATCTTTTTGGCACCAGGGACTGGTTTCATAGAAGACAGTATTTCACTGACAGGCATCGGGGGTGGGGGCAGAGCTCAGGCAGTGATGTGAATGATGGGGAGCAGCTATAAATACAGATGAAACCTCACTCGCTCTCCTGCTGCTCACCTGCTCCTGTGCAGACCCCCAGTTTCATGGAAGACAATTTTTCCACAGACTGGGGGGCTGATGGTGGTAGCCAGCAGAGCCCAGAGCTTGGGGTCTGCAGGGTTAATTCGTTCCAGGATTTCATCCAAAACTTGAATTTTCTCAATTAAAAAAAAAATAATATCCAGAAAAGCAATAATGAATTTAAGTCTGTTGACAGTTCACATCATTTGACATATACATTTCTTTTTCTACTGATTTTTCATTATAGTTTTTTCATTGTACAATATGAAAAACTTTTATGTGGGCATATTTTAAAACTTTTATTCAGAGTGATAATTGCTAATGACAAAAAAAAAAAATCCTGACTACAAATGTATATATAGTAAAAATCTCCTCTCCCATGACAATTGTAAATGAGGCATAATCTTCCAGATGTTTTCCATACACATAAAATTATTTTTTAAATGGATAAGCATATGCTTTTTCTTTTTACACAACTGGGACTCAATAAAATTTGCCTTTTTTATACATAACATGCTATGGGCATCTTGCCACATCAGTACATACAGATTGCTCTTACTCTTACTCTAGTGGCTGAATAGTACTAATGTACCAGTCTAGTCTAGCTAACCAATTTACCACTGATAGATGTGTCTGTATCTTTGCACATGAGTCAGAATATTTCAGATAACTTTCTAGACATGGAATTGCTGGATAATATATGCACATTTTTACTTTGATAGGTACTGCCCAAGTGGCCTCTAAAGGGACTATACTAATTATAACCCCACCAATGGTCTATAATAATGCTTATTTACCCCATCCTCACTAAACATGTGAGCACGATATTGTACAGTCAGTAATTAAAGTTCTGCAGTAAGTAAAACAAGAATCCAATCATTAGAGCTGAAGTGAAAGAAGGACATTTGAGAGACATAAATCTTTCAAAAAACTCAATGTTTACAAATTAATAATTTCCAAACTAGATAAACACTAGTAGTCAAATAAGCTTTCCTCTAATAATACCCAAGTATTGCTTCTGATATTATACATTTTATCTTTTGTATCCCTAATAATTTAATATCCAGAAAATACTAAAATTCTGAATCAGTATAAGGCATAGTAGAAAGAAAGTTGGCTTTGGAGCCAATAGTCCAAAAGGCTGAATGAATCCTGCTGTGCCACTGAGGAACTTGGATAAGTTACATAACCACTGTCTTTGACTACCCATCTATAAAATGAGGTGCGATCAGGCTTATTTTCAGGCTTATTGTAAGGACCAAATATCACATAAAAGCACCAATTTCTGGTATGTAATAGACTTGTAATAAACAGTAAATAACAGCAAATAATATTGAAATATTAACATAAAGAGGACCTATAGGCATATAAGGCAGAAATGGCCCAATTAAAATACTTGGCAAAATTATGATTGTAGATAAACTCATATTGATACCAAGAAGGAAAATCAGGTTTTAAAAAAAGGTCTAATAAATTAGACCCTCCTTTAAGTCTTAGCATTTACGCAGCCTTTTCATAAAGAAATACAGATTCAGGTTTATGACATACAACTGAAGCAAATTTTATTTAACAAATAGTTACTGAGTACTCACCTGTATACTACCAACTAGGGACAAAACGACGAGTAAGAAACAAGCCCTACTTTAAAGGAACCATGCTTTAGCAAGGGGAAACACATACGAAAAATTAAGTATGCGTGAAGTTTGCCAAGGAGGGCATAGTCAACACTAATTGACTGAGCAGGTAATCATGAAAAGGCATCTGCTAGGAGAACTAGTGGCAGAGGCTATTTTGGGTATGAGTAAAGGCCTGGAGCTATGGAAAAGCTTGCTTAATTCAGGGATTATGATTTGGTATAGCTGGAACATTTGGGGGGAAAATTTTAGGAGAGGGAAGATGTGGCAACAAATGATAGAATATGTGTCATGGTAGGACTCAGACTTTGTCCACTGGGCACCAGGAAGACACTATGATACATTAAGCTGGAAGGAGACAAGCTTATATTTATCTCTTACGAAGATCATGCTGGCAGCAGTACAAAGGATGAACTGAAAGAGAACAAGACTGGAGCCACAGAGAAGTGAAAGGTATGGCAACCATTCATGTGAACTGTAACAGCCTGGCTGAGACAGTACTAGTGAGGAGGAAGAGGAGCAGACGGAACAATGTTTAGAGATTACAATGGATAGGATGTAGGAGACCCAGCGATGGGGTGGAAGGAGGGAAGGGGCAAGTTTCTGGCCAAGGCAAGCGCATCCAAATGAAGAAAATCTCGTGAAGAACCAGTGAATCATCCTGTTTTTATATAAAATATAGAGTTTTTGTTTGTTTGTTTGTTTGTTCTTTCAAAGAAAAATTCCAGTCAGGCATTAGAAAGCACTGAAACAAGGACTTCAAGAATATTCTGCTATGTTGTTTAGGGAGGCTCCAACTTTTTTTTTTTTTTTTTAAGGAAAAATTGTATGGGATGACTAAAACATATTTATTACTATTTGGTGCAGAGCAGAGAGGTGGATTCCATGATTTTCACCTCCTTTCATGCCTTCTAAATCAATCTTAAGGTAACTGAAAAATATACTCATCTGCCTAGAATCTCTTTCATCTTGACAGCATTCCTAAAGGAGGGCACAACATATAGGGTTCACCAAGCATGGGCACTTAATTTTGTGCACATGGTGAGCACATGGTGAGACTAAAATTTGTTGAAATACTAGATGCTGTATCTACCTTTAATCACGCTTATCTATTCTAGGACAATAGGCAGGAAGCAGCTAGTTGTCCAAAAGGTTATCAATCTTTCTTTACTTTTAAAAATGAAACTTTATTCAAAACCTGTTCTCTCTTCCAAACTGCTGCTCTGGACCTTGAAAGGGCCGAGAATATTGGTTTTAATGAAAATGTGTATTGAAGTGTGACCCTCCCTTTGCCACCCTTCACTTACTTTAGTATTCCGATCTTCAGCTGTAACCCGTGTAGTACTTCTGTAACACCATAGACATCAGCAAGCAGATGGTGTGTGGAAACTATCTTTTTGGCATTGAGATGAGAATAATTTTCTTTTAAAAATGATAACCCGCACATTCTCCCATTATTCAACCAATCCTTATCATAACGATATTTTGCACTCCACCTCTGACCTGTAGATGAAGTTGACATTAAAGTCACAAAGGATTCCACTTATCAGATTTCCCTTCACTGCTACCCTACTAATGTAACTCATTAAGCAAAGCAAGCTCTCAAGCACTAAGAGCAGATTCAAAAGAAGAGTAAGACAGAGTACTGAGGAGCTGTTGCAGAAAGAGCTCCTCTGCACCTTCAGTGTTCCCGCGCATCAAGGAGAAGAAACCCCATTAAGGATGCAGTCAGTGGCAGATGACACTTCCAAAGGAAACTTTGAGTGTATTGCTTTCAATTTTTATGTAGCAGCCATAGGTCCTCTAAAAAAGGGTTAAAAGGCTGATAAAAACTAGACAGGGGATCTTCTATCCCTCATTAGCCTTTGTTTTGAACTAGGTGAAAAAAAGGTTCTAGTTGAGTGAATATGGACTCCCTCCCCCATGTCTGTGATTTCACAGAATTCTATATAATCCTATCTCCTCAATGTTAACACAAATTAGATCCTATTACAATTAGATGCTTATGTATCTGTGTCCCCTACTATACTATGAGATAGCTGAAGGCATGGTTTGAATTAATCACCTCACTGATGTTTGGAAAGCAGAAGGCATCCAATAAATGCTGCTGAATGAATAACAAATGTCTACATTTGCTACTGAATGAATCCAATGAATAACAAATGTCTATATTCATAAGGGTCTGAAAAATTCTCCTGCTTCTTACTGCGACTTTTTTCTTTTCTTTTTTTCAATAGACATGGGACCAATTCAACTTGCCTTTTATTTGAGAATACCTAGTTATTTCCTGCCTTGGAGACTGAAGTTATATTCAATATGCAGAACATGCTAGTTGAAGACCCTCTAGCATAGAGGAAGGCACTACGTAGAAAGCACAGAAGGCACAGGTTTCATCTCAGTCTGCCACATCCTCAGTGTTAAAGGGATCACAGGTGGTGATCTGAGACCCCATCTGCTCCACAGTGAGTTGGCTGTGCAGAGTTGGCTATGCAGCACTACCAGGTCAGGAGGAGTGCAAGTTCAGAATGGCAAGCCACTCAAATTGTCACAAATAAGCCTAGCTAGAAATTGATACATATGAGCAGACAGAGGCTAATTCTCCTCCAGGAAAAATCCATACCTCTTTCCCTTCAGTAAAGTATGAATTTTGTTAATAAATTTATGCTAATGTATTTCTCTAAGTAATTAATATGGAAAATTAAACTATTAAAGTGCAAAAATATACTAAAATTTTAATATGGAAGCAGAGTCTAATTGATCAAGAAGTATAGTAAGTCCTCAGTCCTCAGTGTCATCAATACGTTTTTGGAAACTGTGACTTCAAGTGAAACAATGTACTTGATAATGAAACCAATTTTACCACAGGCTAACTGACGTAAACAAGAGCTAAATTCCTATGGCATACAGTATAGTCATTTTGCTTAAAGTTGCAGTTTTCAGAACCTACCAATGACATTAAGGGAGGCCTTACAGTGCAGGCGTTTTACACAGCAGATACACTCAGGAATCCGTGAGAAGACATGTAGGCACTGTGAGATCAGCACAGTGCAGAAAGTCTTACCCGGTGGGTCACGGCAGATGTAGCAGATGTACTGCTCTGGAATGCTCTCCTCCAGCAGCCCCATGCACACGCTGTGCTGCCAGCACAGGCACTCCTCACACTGTGGGAAACAGGAGCACTGGAGTCACCTGTCACTCAGCAGAAATAAGGACACATGCTCTTCCTTTGAATTAGCAAGCTTGGTTTCTTGTTGCCACTACCTGTGAATTCTTAGTCAACATAATAAAAGCAAGTCCTGATTTGAGATGACCTTTGCCTTTGAAATGTTCAACTATTTCAAACACTTTCTTTTCTTGCACCTATTTAAAATGTGCTTTGATGAATTATTTAAATTGTTTAAAAAATCATAATTTCCCTTATGTATTTCCCATTGGTTTTTAGATAATCACATCCTTAAAACTCTAAAAAGTAGCTGATTAAAATGCAGGAAAAAAGCAAGTTTGTAAGCAGTGCCTATAGCAATGATCTCTTAAAGTACTACTTGTGTGAGGAAGCTATAAATTTGTATATCCCTTATTTTAGAAAACCACTAAAAAAAAGGGAGAGAAAAAGGAGATTACACTTTCTTCATTCCCATAACTAATGTCTCCAAATCTTTCATATGTCACCACAAAATATGGGATATGTTTCCTTTTTCTTAAAGATATCCTTCCTACAGGGAGAGGCTGTTAACCCTTCCAACAGTTTTCCTTTCTTTCTTGAAAATATTGGTAACTTTTATGTTTCAATTTCTGCCCACCAAAGGCTGACTATATACTGTCAATTATTAAGCAACCTGGATCCAGAACAGTAAGAGAAGGTTGCTGTGGCCTACCCTTCAATGTGGAGGCTTACCCACCCTGATGGCTCTTAAAAAGTGTTTCAGCTTGAAGGCCTCAAACTAAACACCCCAGTAAAGGGAGAGCAACCCTAAAATAAGAACATTGTCTACTTCGCTTGATGAGAGGATCTCCTCATCATCACTACTGGTATTTTAAACACAAGTTAGAAACCTCAGTCTTCGGTAAGATGGTTAGTAAAAAGAGAAAACACTCTGATGCACTTGCTGAGCACCTGAAATAATTCATTACTGTAGGGAAGAGAGGTTAATCAATTACCTGAATCATGAAGCCATTCTCCTCATCCATTTCACAAATACATCGCACAATTTCATTAAGAGCATCATCTTCATCTTGAGATTCCTCAAAATTGGTTGAATCAAAGTCCTGATTGTATTCGTCCCCACTCAGAAGCAAACTCTCCGTTGAAGAATCATCGAGGAAATCCACATCTGATAAGTCTAGAATATACATAAAAAATATACTAAGCACATTTTTTCTATTTTTATGTCATTTTTCAGAAAGAAAGGAGGTAAGGGATGTGATTTTAAGCTATTAAGCATTTAGAAAAGGGGCAAACAAATGGGAATAGAATATTGTACTTGTCTATGGTCACAGAAAAAAATGATTTTTGAAGCTTAGGTAATTATGACTGCTTTACATCTCAATGTATATACTATTATAAGTAACTCAAAGTATCCCGTAGTCTTCATGCTTATAGAAGTTACGGCTAAAGTTGATATTCATAAGTTAAACTTGCATAGTTTCCATATACTTTCACAAACTTTATCCCTTTGGTTCTCGTTAAAACTCTGGATGGTTTTATAGGTTTTATTATTTGTAGTATAAACAACTTCAGAGAGATTACGCAGCTTGCCTAGGGTCTAATATCAATACTATTAATAACAGTACCAGTAGCATCAACTACTACTGCATTTGATATGCACCAGGTACTATACTAAGCACCCTTAAATATCAGATAAAACTTGCTTGAAGAATGCAGCCAGAGAGTGGTAAAGCTAATTACCAGGACTGCTTGATTCTCAAGACTGTGTTCTTAATCACTTCACCAATATTTCTTAAAATTGGACTATGAATCCCCAAGAAATTTTTTAAATATATTAACTTTATTTTGATAAAAATCTTTAAAAATTATGCATATTCTACAAACTGGATTATATGGATGACTACTACATACAACTTACTTAAATGCCAGGTTTTAGGTTTGTGTTTATCACAGTGTCAATGCCAAAGCCTACCATTTTGCTTGGTCTATTAGAAAATAAATTGAGATGAATATAAAGGAATCTTTATTTATCACAAATAGAAAGAAATGATAGAACACTAAAGAAGGTTTTGTAGTAGTTTGGATGGAGAGATGTTAGGAAAACTGAGTCGTCATGGGACACATGGTAGAAGACCAGTGTTCCTGCCAGCTCCTTGAATGGAAGCTGCTGAGTGGAGTACCACAAGGATGGAGGAGTCACCTTCCCACCTCACCATCCTAGACCCTACATTCTGAGTTATCCTTTCACCTGCTTCTATCTCCCCTTTCTACAATGTCAGAATCCATGAGAGCAAGCACTTTGCATTGCTGACTGCTACATCCCCAGGGTTTACAATGAGATCTGATACATACAGTAGCCACTACAGACTGTTTGTGGCAGAGATAAGAAGGAAGTCAACAGAGAGAAATTTTTCTTTTCAGACTTAATCAGGCCAGATAGACGTTGGGTGGATTCAAACTAAAAAATTCATGCTATGTATACTTTAAATATTTCATATGAGCTTTTTTTTTTTTTATCAGTTTCTAATCTTATTTTTTCCCTGACTCAATGTTTTTGAATGTTTGTTTTTGATTTATTAATGTTAATGTTTTATAGAAAAATAAATAAATGTTTTCTTCTCTTTGGGGTCTTAGGACATCTGGGAGGAAGTAAGGTCAGTAGAAATGAGATAATGATAGAGAAATACCTGAAAATATTCATGGAGCAAGAAGTAAATCAATTAGATATGGAAAATCTAGTATTAACAACATAACTAGTTTTAAAACAACCTAAAGGAGAAAATTTCATCCATTCATTATCTTGCTGGCTTAAATCCAAAATTATTATTTTTTCTTGGCTTTCTCAAATACAAGTTCATGTTTCAAAAAGGCAGAGTAGAACATGGATAAACAGTTTCAAACACTGTTGCAGCATATACATGGTATTAAATGGATGGCAATCATAACACAGTTAATAATGAATTTGATTGAAAACTGTATCACTGAAAGGAATTAGTATATATCTCACATACACTTGCATGGCCCAAATTACCAGGTTTTAAGGTGTTAGCATATAAATTTAACATATTCCCCAGAAAATCCAGTTTGAATAACTAACTCCCAAGCATTAAAGATATGCTTGGCTGAATTTTGAAAGTTGAGCAAATGGGTCATTGGATTGAAGTTATATTAGAAAAGTGAATAAAAGTTTCTTATACTCAGCCAGCTGGACAATGGTTCCACATGAGTGGCCACATGAACACCTGCTTCCTTTGAACCACTACTCCTAGAACTATCATTGCTATTTCCTGAGACAGTATTTTCAAAGTGTGGTTCTCAGACCAGCAACATTATTATCACCTGGAAACTTGTTAGAAATCAGAAATTCTGAGGGTAAGGCAGCATATAAATGTGTTTTAGCATACTCTCCAGGTGGTTCTGACACACGTTAACATTTAAGAAGCCCTGGCCTAAGACCTCTGCCCTTATTAACATTCCCTTCCTTTCTCCTAACTCAGTGCTCGATCATACGGAGGGCAGGACAGACACAAGGCAGAACTGAGGGTGCACATCTGTGTTCCTTCCACCCTTTCTCAATTGTTCTTGTTCCAGCACCACTACCAGCCCAGATACAAACTTCTATGCTCCATCTCTCTCTGGCAAGAGATGATCTCCAGATCTTGATGGCTTGAAGTATGGGTATTCTTACGTGATTTTCAATACCTGCTGCAACATGTAATCGCCCAGAACCTGTATCTTGCTAGGATCCTTCCAGAAACTTCATTTAATTACACTCTGTGGTAAGACCCAGGATTGGTATATTTTAAAAGCCCCACAGCAATGACCGTAAGGTGCTCCTGGGGTTAAGAACCACTGGGCCGGGGGAAAAGGGCAGCTTGTGTTTGCAGAAAAAGAGAGGCAGTGACTTTTCCTTAATCCCCTCTCCCACCTCAAATTTTTAAAAATTACAATCTCACAAGTGTTGTGTCCTTATTTCACAGTAAAAGGAAGAAAATGCTTTCCTCAGAGAAAGCCAGAGAGGAGTAAGTCCTAGAAGAAAGCAGGTAGTAACAGTGCAAAAGCAAACATTTAATCTAGTACCCACTATCTAGGGTACTTGGAAGAAAGGAACAGACAGGAAATGTTCTCATTCATAAGGCTCCTACCCCTTATTCCTCATCCCCTGACTCTGGTCCCTCCTGTGTTAGAGCTCTACTCTTAGTCATGGCCACTGCCTTTAAAATCTAGAGCCGGGAAAATCTCTCTTCGTATTGCTTATAATTTGGGAAGGAAGGTAAGGTATTCAACATCTTCCACTGTCAGGCCTGGACCTGCAGGAAAACTTGGACAGAATCTAGCTCCTGTGCTCTTTTCACCCCTGACATTGCCTTCTGCCTGCCTAAGACTGCTTAGTTCCTGAGTCTAAATCATTGACCTGACCACATTCTCAGACCTCTGGTTTACAAATGTATCTGTGACCAGGAATTCAAAGTATAGTTGTAAGACTATAATAACTATTTAGTAGAAAAGCATTATCTTTGGAGTTAAGATAGACCTTGGTTAGAGTTTTAATGCTAACACTAACTATCTCATAAATTTACATAACCTGTAAGTAGTCTCTGCTTGTTTATCTGTAAAATGTGCATAATGGTATCTACTCTATAAGTTGGTAGTAAATAATATGAAAATATATGTTAAAACCTACAGAAAGATCAGTATATAGTAGACACTAATATTAGTTTCCTTACCACCATCTCCTCCCCTATAAAGTATAAAGCCAATTTTACTTTACATAAATTAAAAAGTAGCTCAAATTTCTAACACTAAGACTTTCCATATTAGTTTATGTAACGACTTTTTAAATTGTGTGCCCTGCATAAATAGGCACTCAACAAAGTACATTTTACTCTCAGTTCCGTATTTAGGAATCTTAAATCTTGTTTTAACCATTACATGGTTACACGTACTTTCACCACTAAGATCAACAGACAGAATTGCCCTTGGGTACTGATAGGTTGTAGTTTTCTCCATAAACATGGTTCGCGAAGCCAGAGAACTCCCAGAAGATCGAGTTAGTGGGGAAGAGCACCTTTCCAAAAATTCTAGGGAACTGTCTTCATAGTCTGAATAGTCTGCAACATAAAATACATAAAGAAATATTAATAAAGTATCAGGTAATCAAGAATGGTCACTATAAAAATAATGAGAAAGTCATGTTTCAGGATACATAAAATAATCATGCCACCACTTTCTCTTCTCATCCATGAGCAGCTAGATTATTACAAATTGGGTTTAGCAAGAACACTTAGGAAATAAATATACACAGTAGGAACCACCAGGTTCTAACTGATATCAGTAAACTCCTGCAAAGGAGTCCAGAAGTGAAAAAGGATTATTTCTACACTATTTTCCATTATTATCACAACTATGCCTGCAGTTAAGATGTACAAGATGTAAATTAACCTTTTTTTCAATTTGTAAAGAGGTTTTCTTGATTTCTGGCACACTGATTACTGTAGTGAAAATCTGATCAATAAATCCTTCGAGCAAAAAAAAAAAAACTCTGAAGGAAATTAACTAGTCCTAGAAGAAATCTATCAAAGTTCTGTTCCTCTCCACTTGAAATGAGTTCTACAATGTCTACAAGGGGAGAAGCCATATGCAGCTTACCAGAAAGTAGGAGTGTGGTGAGGGGAAGGTGTGATTCTAGAAATGTAGGAGGGCTTTGAAGCAGAAGAGAGCATGGTGCATTTAGCAACTATAAGACTGTGGCTGGAATACAGTGAGTGAGATGGATAAGAAATGAGCCTAGAGTGACAGGAGCTAGATCAGGTTAAAAATTTTTCTTATTTTTAAGTTTTATCCTCATGCAATTAAAAGCCACTCAACAGTTATACAGGGAAGCAAGATGTGACACAAGTCCAATTCTATTTCTGAAGGATCAGTCTAATTGTAGAATGGAGGATGGAGTGCAAGAAGGCACAGAGGGGCCGGGTGTAGAGGCTCAGGCCTGTAATCCTGGCACTCTTGGAGGTCGAGGCGGGAAGATCTCTTGAGGTCAGAAGTTCGAGACCAGCCTAAGCAAGAGCAAGACCCTGTCTCTACTAAAAATAGAAAAAATTAGCCAGGTATGGTGGCATGCACCTGCAGTTCCAGCTACTCGGGAGACTGAGGCAGGAGGATCGCTTGAGCCCAGGAGTTTGAGGTTGCTGTGAGCTAGGCTGACGCCACGGCACTCTAGCCTGGGCAAGAGAACAAGACTCTGTCTCAAAAAAAAAAAAAAAAAAAAAGGCAGCACACAGAGAAGTAGGGAGATAGTTTAGAGGCTACAGCAGTAGTTTAGGCAAGAAATCCTGGTAGCTTGGAATGGGATAATAGCAACTAAGGGGAAGATTTAGAGGAAGACATAGTGCTGTTACAGATTGGAGGCTGAGAGCATCGAGATTGATTTCCAGGTTTCTGTTTCAGCAACTAGGTGGTAAAAATGGGTCTGAGAGGAGACTGAACAATAAACGGGAGGAGGAGGAATCAGAGAAGGCGTACGAGTTTAGAGGGGGGGCTTCTTCAGATGGGAGATCTGACACATTATCTACATGAACCTAAAGATGAGGGGATGGGAGCATGGTGGTGGTAAGAAATGCCAGGATTAAGAATTAAAAGACAGATATGTCCCCCATTTTAACAGAGGCAAAGAAGAAGATAGATAGATTCGGGTAAGTATGGAAATGTGGTAGATAAAAGATGAGCAAAATCTATTTCTACTTCCTCAGCTGTGTGAGGCAAAGGATGTCAGTTCAGGCAGGTTAGGGAATAAAAGGTGGGAAAGAGTGGGAAAAGTTGAGGAAAGGTAGAGAGTAGAAAAGCAAATTTACAAGATGAGATTACTAATAACACTGGTCTATACTAAATATCTATTTGAAGTTGGTGGTTGTGGGAGGCAGAACAATAGTTCCTTAAACATGTCTATGTTCTAATCCCTGGAACCTAGAAATACACTAAGTTACATAGCAAAGGGGAATTAAGGTAGAAGATGGAATTAAGGTTGCTAGTCAGTTGACCTTAAAATAGGAAGAGAATCCTGGATTATATGTGTAGGCCCAGGGTAATCTAAAGGATCCTTAAAAGTGAAAGAGGGAGGGAAAAGACTCACTGTCAGAGTGAAATATGAGAAAGATTTGACAGGCCGCTGCTAGCTTTGAAGATGGGAGAGGGACATGAGCTAGAAATGTGGCAGCCTCTGCAGGCCAGAAAAGCAAGGAAATGGATTATCCCTGAGAGCCTCCAGAAAGGAATGCAGCCTTGCTGATGCTTTGGTTTTAGCCCAGAAAGATCCATTTTGGACTTCTGACCTCCAGAACTTTAAGATAATAAATATGCATTTGTTTTAAACCACCGACATATAGTAATTTGTGACAGCAGCCCTGGTAAACTTATATAGTGGTCATCATAAATTCCATAGTATGGCCAACATTGATTGAGGTCTATGTGCCAAATACAATTTTAAGTTCTTTACCTGTATGAAGTCTTTTAATCCTCACAATCATCCAATAAGGGAGGTAAGACTGCTAGTGCTATTTTACAAATGAAAGAACTGTCCAAGGATACGCAATGGCAAAGACAATATTCAAACCCAGGGAGCCAGACTACAGGAGTGGCACGCTCAACCAACAAGCACAATCAGTGGATTTCAACATTTAAAGTGTGAACAAGCTGGAAAGCTTGTTAAAACCCATGTTCCTGGGCCTCACCTTTAGCAGATCAGGCGTGGGAACACTCAGATAATGTTGATGCTACTAGATGACAGAGTAATCTTTGGGTAGCACTGTGCTACTCTGTCTCTTGTGGCCTGCAAGTAACTGCACAGTCTGTCTACTAACACCATGTTATTTAGGCACAGGCATGAAAAGAGAAATATTGAACACTAATTACTTTGTCAAGGACTTTACAATAATTACATTATTTAACACTAGTAACAAATCTATGCAGTAGAAACTATCATTACCATTTTAGAAGTTAAGAAATTGAGATTTAGAGAATTGAAATAATCTGTCAAAAGTTGCCCAGCTATAAGTGTTATGAACAGGATTTGCTAAACCCCTATATTAAACTTTCAAAGCTGCCCTCTTATTGACTACATTCTATATTATCTTCTCAGCAAAAGTAGAAGATTGAAAGAAACCTCAATTTGGTGCTAAAAATAAAACATGACTGACATTTAATCTCTCTGTTTTACTAGCAAATGAATATAATTTCTTGGCATTCTACACCCTACCTGTATTCCTCACTCCATTCCCTCTGGCTATCAGGAATAAAAGTTTACTGTTATGTTTCAAGGCTTAGATCAGAAGTCTCCTATATAAGGTAATTTCCTTGATGATACCAACTTTTCTAAATTTCAAATAGATTTTGTACCACTCTTACCACACAAATCAGAACTTCCTAGTAGACACTGATATATGCTTCACATCACTCTTACTACGTACTATATGCCTGCTTACAAGCTTCTTGAAGGAAATCTTTGTTTTTACTCCACAATGATTTGGATTCTCTGCCTTCCAGCTTTAATTCTTTTTAACCTCCATATGCCTTCAGTTTCCTCATATTTACAGACACATGAAAGACAGATATGAAGTGACTTGCTCAGACTAATGAAGCTAAAAACTGGCAAAGATAACACTCTTAAATCACAACATGGCAACTCTCATATATACAGATTGAATACAGCATTAGCTTTATATCTTGTAAACTACTGTTTACCAAAATATACATTAACCCACTACCACATGGAATAATTATAAAGAAGTATTTAACATGTGAGGCTCAAATAAACTGATATACATAAAATGCTTAGATAGTGTTTGGTCCATAGTAAGTACCACAGGATATGCAAAATAACATTATGTGGTGAATTAAAGGAAGAATTTTTAAAACTCCCTCATGGTGCTAATCATAAGACTAAAAACCATATTATACTAGGAAACTCATTCAGTAATAATGTGAATTCCTTAACATTATGAAGGCTTTAAAATTTTAAAGTTATTTAAAATCCTATATTTCCCACTTAAAGATCACTCTTCAATCATCTGGGAAAAGTGTTACTTCCAGAATGAATGTAAATAGCCCAGAATAAATTCTCCTCAAATGTAATAATTAATTACAAAGATGATGGTGATTACCACACTCAACACCTGCTGTTTATAAATAGCAATGCTTCTGTGCATCTTCAGTATTTATCAGGACTCTATTTATAAGGTTAAGATTTTAATTTATAGGCCTGATTTTAAAATGTGAATAAAGATATAATGTTTATTTTTTTCAACAGAAGGTAAAAGTATCTAACATTTAAAGTGTTTTCCAAATGGCTCTTTGTACAGGGTTATCGTAGTTAAGGGCTGATCATAATTCTAACATGTAAGTTTTCATTGCAAGTTTTTTCTCTATTAATCTTAATGACACATCTTTCTTTCAAGTTACCACTTACTGTATTCTCATAACTCTATCCCTCGCTTTGCTACCAAGTGTGGCCCCCCTTCTTATTTTGTGTTATATTAATAGTTATCTTTTCCTGTACTTTCACAGGTATTTTAGCATATTCTGTGTCTGCTGCTAAACACTGGAACAGACCTCTCAGTTCACTGATGCACCAGAAGATGACTTAAAATAGCTGTCCGTTTCTGCACTGACAAGCTGGTGTCTCCACTGGAACATCCAAGCCAGCCAAATCCCCTCAGAGCCTCTGGTCGGCTGGGAGTTCACAGAAGCACTGCTATTTATAAACAGCAGGTGTTGAGTGTGGTAATCACCATCATCTTTGTAATTAATTACTACATTTGAGGAGAATTTATTCTGGGCTATTTACATCCAGTTTGGCAGTTTTATCTGCATTTTGAAGCCTCCCACTTCTATATTATAATGTACCACTCACGGGAGGTTATTCAGTAATCAAATTAATTTGTGGTTAATGATTTTTGTTTACAAGGCCCCAGAGCTCTCTTTGGAAAGTGGTTCAAGCTTTTCAATCCCATTTTGATCCTACATCTTCAAATTTACTCTGACAGCTTTAGAGTTAGAGAATGTAGAAACTTCACATCCTGTGGAAAAATTAGATGTTTATTTTGGGACTATGGAGAGA